CACGTGCTGTCGACACCGAGGTTCAAGAGTCAATTTTGACAATGGAAGCTACAGAACCACAGAGCACCATGAGCTTTGGGCCAAGTGCAGTCAAGAGGGCACATCGGTACCCAATGCGACAAGGCTCCCGCGCAGCCATCATCGTCCCATGGGACAACCTCTTTACCACTCGAGGTCGACACCAGCTGTCACAATGTCATCACACTTGTCTACATCCCAGATGAGTACTTACCCACAGATCCTCGACTGCCCTGATGTCACTGCCAGAAGTTGATAAAGACTACGTGTCAGAGCGGATCAATGCGAGATGTCAGCCTCTTGGGCCCCTGTGAACGAAAGTGAACAATACAAGACAGCAGATTAACAGTGAAACATCAGTGACAATATAGTGGATCTGAAGGAGACCAAGGACCTGTTTGAAAGGCTGATGGTACTCTGCCCAGCGTCCACAACGACACATCACCAGAAAGAAGGCCGAAGGGAACTATTGAATGTACTCATAACACCAAGGGCAATCTGTTCACTACAAATGCGAACAATCCTGCCTGCCAAGTCCAAGTTAAATCAATCTCCTTGAGAAGCTGACAAGAGAAGATGTGCCCCATGAAGACATCACGCTGCCTCAAGCTGGAAGTCACTACCCCAAGATGCCAGTGGATACAGATTCACAGACACCACATCTACTGAGTCAGCCAAGTCGAAAGCTTAGAACTGGTGGACGGCAATGGTGCCTTGTGCAGAGGCTGAGCAACAAACCAGCCACTGTGATTGACAGTCAACGGATCTGAGTGGCTGCTTCATGACATGACTGATGTCACTAACAAGAACATGAAAATCATCCTTGTGTTCGACACATACAGGCAGATTCTAATGAGTGCAACCAGAGATTACATGAGACAAGGGAAAAGTATCCAAGCTACAAGTCAGAGATGACACCCAGACATCAACACCTCCCATTGAGCAGTTCCCTCTCTCATGCACCAGACCCGAAGGCCGATCTGACTGATATCTTGCAGCCACACTCTAGATACACAACAGGGGATCCTCCAAGCTGATCATCACGTCAGCTTCTGGGAAACTAGAGCAACAAACACCCCTGCTCTCTTTCTCGCAGAAGCACGAGCGCGCGTGATCCCGGCTGCTGCCTGGCATCACACCCAAAACCCAGCTGATGCACACGTTGATGTTTCTTTTCACCCAGATACCAGACATTCTAGTGCTACAGTCACCAGCAAACCTACTGCTCTCTTGCTGAAGAACACAGTTCGATTTCATGGCCTCTGTGTTGTGGCGCCATTGAACCACTGCGTGGGCGATCGCTCTAGGTAGCAGGCAAAAGGCAAAGGCATGTGCCCAGCTTCCTCCATGCATTCACCTGGGGCCAGCAACACAGGCAGCCGTTCTCTCCGTACTAAGGCACAGGCCACACCTGGCTGCAGATCTATTTAAAAGACAGATGAAGATACTTATCAACTGCTCCCTGCATACTGCTTTTGGATGAAGCAAAAGTGACGCGAAGGACATGCATGTCCACACTCGTCTTCCTTTGTATGCGCGCCCTACTCAATCACGAGCGTATCAACATATAAGACAATCACTGGGAACCCATGGTTATCTCTTCTGCCCAAACGCAGGCCAGAGATGGACAGACTCCCTCCAACACTTGGAGCTCTGAAGCAGCCATATCTTAGGGTCCATGTCCAAACGCAGGGGTATGGGGCACAGGCAGCCTTGCTCTGCCAGGATCCCGCTGGACCCCTCTGTGCACGCGCCTGGGTACTCACGGCAGGACTCCGGGATGGCATGAAACCCAAAACCCAGGGGACAGAGGTCTTCCCAGCCCCAAAGGGCCATCCATTGAGATGGTCCAAATGCGCCAGATCTACTGTCTTCTGAAAGATGTTCCTGCAGAGCTTAAATGACTTAGCCTGTACCCGATAGTGTCAGTGCAGTAGCCAGTGCCAGAACGAGAATCGATTACCCATTGCTGTGATGGATGAAAGTGGTTGATGATGATAGTGATGATGATGCAAGATGTGTATAAATTTAATGTCTAAAATGAAGAAGGTTGCTTCTTTTCTGTGGCACAAAAATGTGCATGTCATGGATGATATGAGTGCACATTTTTAAGACTCCAGTTTTAAATCAGTTAATGGCAATTATCTGTTAACCTGTTAAACCCCGAGCCTGTTTTTCAGGTTTCAGGCTCGAAAATGAAATTCCCAGAACAAATGACCATATCTTCCCTTCTAAAAGGGTTAAATTAATAATCTTTTTTCTCAAAGTAATGATAAACCTGTGAGTTGGATGTAGAAAAGTCAGAATAAATATAGATGTTTAGATTTAGATGCTTTTGCTCTGCGATTTTTACATAAAAATTGAATTATGGATTATAAAAGAAATAATTTTTTTATACAGAGACGTTAAAAACCTATGGATTAACCGATTCAGCCGCGTTCTTCTCGTTTTAATGCCATTGAACACGTCTTTTGATCAGATTGACAGCTACGGTGAGACGATCTCCCGAGAAGCTCCGTAAAGGTACGTGTTGGGATGTCTGTGTTTGCTTCCCCTGTCGCGAGTTCGGATCACTCAGTGATGATACTATATACCTAAATAATCTGTGGAACCTCAGCTTTAATCGGATATCTTGTATGTGCAGCTACGATAAGTAATAAGGGTACTTTTATCTTGAGTTCTGTGCCAATGTCCGTTAGTATTTTTCGCTAAGGGGTCATTTAGATGCTTCTTATGAGACTTGTGTTTTGTTTTGGTAAAAATGGTTTGTATCGTCAGTTAGCTGAGATTATTTCCGTTAATCTGGTATAACACATTAATAGGTTCTTAAATATTAAGATCCCCTGAGACACAGTGTCACGAAAAAAAAACCTTTTAACATGTGGTGTCCTCAATACAAGTTATGTTAACATGGAATTTAGTGAGTTCTACCTAATTATTGTTGGCACCATTGGATTCCTTGATCCTGAAAATGTGGGTTTAGCAGCTCAAATCAATGTTCTAGCTTATTTCGAAGTCAAGATATTACAAAACCTATAATAAACCATATAAACACCTGGGCAAATGGAAACATGGATTTTCTGAATCCTTATACAATATCCTTTTCAAAAATGTATAATATTGCAAATCCCCACAAAAATCCCACAAAAGTATATAGCGAACCTGACTATAAGGACTGGGTTAATAAATTACATTAACTTAAGCAATACTTAAATGTTAAGGTAGACCTAGGGCTACTTAAACTTGACCTGAGTGTATTAATGTTGTGCTACTTTATATTTCTTCCACTCGACTACTTTTTCGAAGCTAATATAATTGTAATAGGTTTTACTCTAGATTTATTTGACAGCTTGACTTTTTTACAGACTGAGATTATTAGCTAACTAATCCAAAACATAAAGCAAGTAATGTATAAACATATCGACATATAATACGTTAAGAAAGCTATCAGCAGTATATATAAAGGTGTATATGTAAAATATCTGAAATGATTATTGTAAACAATATGTTTATATTTGAAGCTAATATGCTAAAAGATACCCAGGCCGTGTTGGCAGTTTAACAGCCTGTTCCTTAAGAATCAAATATCAAATATTAATATAACATAATGGTAGTAGTGTACTGTATTTTGTATATTCAAACTATAGAAACTTTAAATTAAAAATGTAAAAGTTCAAAAACTGTAATAATGCAACTGTATTCTGTCAGGTTACATAAACCCTGAGATATTTCCATGGAAAGCTGAATCATATACAGTAAGTCCACTTGATCATTCCAAACATTGTTTCAGATTTATTCCAGAGCAGTCTTTTGTGGCTCACGTAAAACTAATCCTTTTCACAAACAGCTGTTTGGCCTCATGATTCCCATTAACCTTGGCATTTGTAATCCTCCATCCTTCAATTCTCCATGTCAGAGTACTGCGAGGCCATCATGTTTTTCTTTTCACATACTATAATCCTGTTCCACAGACATTATGACTTACAGTACATCCTCAGTGAAGGACATAGTTCCTCTCTGTGCAAGCAGGCTATTGTACTTTTAACAATCCAATCTAATTCATACTGATGCTATTAATAGTCCTTCCTGTATTCTCAACAGCAAAATTGACTTTTTTATGATTTCCCCCTTCTTTTTTGTCTTATCCTTGTATTACAATTAACCAAGCACCAACCTTCACAGCTAGGATTTTTTTGTTGCCATATTTTCAAAATAGGGTCACCTTTGCATGTGACTGATATGCTTCCCATCCACCCTCATTCTGTGGTTTCTTGCAGCTTTTGCACTCTTCACCACATGTGCTGCCTCCTACTAACTCAGACGTTGCAGTTTCTCTGCATTAATCCTTAACTTCTCAATCACACGTACAATTCCCATCACCTAGAACCTCAGGAAATGTAATTTATCCCTCAGCAGTTATACATTTAAACTATATGTTCATCACTGTATGAACATTTGCACAAATTGCATCAGATTAGTTCCTTCATTGCGTTTTTAAATACACTGAAGGAAGTTACTTCATGTACAAACCCAGATGACCTACTGTTGTGTTTCTGTGGTTGTCAGTGGTCAACACCTCTTGTCAATTCCTCTTTTGAACAATAAAGTAGATGTTCTTCTTGTCTGATATAAGCCTCTGCATTGGTTAATGGACATAATCTGAACATTTAGTTATTTTCTATTGGCCTCTTTGGATTTTATATATTGTGTCTTTTGTGGAACAATTTCTGAAATACTTCATTTGTTTACATTGTTGATTTAACACAATTGTTTAAAGGGGCCCTATTATGCTCATTTTCAGGTTCATATTTTGAGCCTCTACTGTGACTGGTTTACTGCTTTAATGTCTAAAAAAGCTCTTTATTTTTCTCATACTGCCTGTGCTGCAGCACCTCTTTTCACCCTCTGTCTGAAACTAGAGCCAAGTCTGCTCTTATTGGTTAGCTGGCAGGCTCTGTTGTGATTGGTCAACCATTTAGAGATGTCCTGCCCCTCAGCATATCACGTACAATGTGTTGGAGTACTAGCCAATAGAAGTAGTTTCTCAAATTGTGCACGCTACAAGAGGTTTTGGTAATTCGATGCAGGAAATCTCCCTGCCTCAGAGTCTTCGGTCTTTCTTCCTTCAGATACGTCCAGATTAGAATATGAGAGAGAAACTCCCTCTAGAGGGAACTTTGGGATTTTAGCCTTTGTAGACCATTTACAAGCACAAAAAGCTATATAACACATTACAGGTAATGGACCACCCCAAAAGCACAATAGGGCTTCTTAAAAATAGAATGTGGAAATCCTCCACAAAAACATACTTCTGTCAAATGTGATGGAGGTCTTATAAGTCCTAGGAAGAAAAAATAGACAGATGAACAAAATAGAGTTACACCAAAAGTGATATATATTAAAGATAGTATATACAAAACAATTACAACCTTTTTTGGAAGTACATACAGTACAAGTGTCCATGGCTTTCAGTTTGAAATCTGATTGAAGTATTATCTTATTCTGAGCACAATATAAAAACTCACACAAACAACATAAAAACAGCATACTGCTTTGGCTGATATAAATAAGTATTATTTGTAAAAAAAATAGGAGGTGGTATTGCTTTCATGTTGGACTCGTTCAATGTTTCAAACCCTGAGAAGATCAGAAATGAATCTGGTGACACCCAGTGGGAGGCATCCGGAAGCATTTCACTGCTTTACCACCAAAATCAACAATAAATCTCTCCTTTTTGGATTTTTTTGTGTACAGTATTGCATACCGCTGGATAAGAAATAGACAGATTGTTCTGCAATTGGACCCACATAATCAGCTTGTGATGCTTCAATTATTTATATTTTTAGAGGATGCCATGATATGTTTAGAGGGAATAATTAACCCCCAAATTATAATTTCTAAATCAAGGATTTACCCCGTGTTAGCGTGATTTCTTGAAGTGAATTTTTTTTTCTCGTATGCCTTTCTCCATCCAAAAATTGGAAAAAATTCATCATCAATTGATGCAAATAGGAGCCGCGCTATCAAACATTTTAAACTATTTCACACACTGTATTCTCCTTACTCTCCATACTGTATACACTTTCAGCCAATAGTAGGACACTAATAGCAGCTAAACCTGTGTGTTGTTCCGCATTGATAAATTATGAATACTAATACAATTGTGTCAATATTGTAATACATATATTGTAGTACAATGTGAACATTTTATGTCTATACAATTTTTTTTTTCTTTAATTCAATGTTTATTAGACATTTTACTTCTCCAATTTAAATAAATATATGTATTTTATTGTATTTTTTTATTGCACATTCTTACCTTAACGCCTTACGTTAAAGTAAATATTTTATTCTATTTTATTTTATATAATTCTAATATTGTCAATTTTCCCCCGGGATAAATACAATTTACTGATTCTGATTCTTAAAATGACTATTTACTAACAACTTGCAAAGCATTACAAGCCTGTGATTGTTAATGCATAAAATGTAAAAAATAATTAGATGTTGGTTATTATTTCTTCTTATATTCTTGATTCGATGTTGAGGCATGCGAGGGAAACGCATTGTTCTTCAAGAATCCAAAGTAACACGGAGTGAGGATTTGATATACATATGACCATTTGGTTGGTGAAGTTTTCCTTTTGAGATTCTCTGAAAGTTGATGAGAGAATTTAGACGGATCCAGAATATGCAGTCTGACTGAAAATCTGACCACAAAATAAATGAAAACTTAATAACACAACAGAACACATCAATAAAATACATTTGCATAACAGTGTCCTTCCTGTGTTCTTCCTGCTGTTGTGACATCATGTGACTGCAGGCTTTATGTCACCCAGCTGTCCATTCGCATTCGTTTGACCGTCGCTGGACCCTCCATGCCCTCTGAGTGGCTCACAGGGAGGAAGTCCCGCCTCAGCTGCTCCTCCCGGTCGCTGCCTCCGCCCTCGTGGGAGCTGCAGGAGGAGCTGATGCTGTCTGCGGGAGATCTCCCCATCTCTGCTCTGCTGGAGGCGTGAGGATGAGGAGGGCCGTGAGCCTGGGTCATGTACCCTGATTGGCTGAGGTGGTTGCGGGGCGGGGAGGTCGGTTCAGCTTTGATGTTGATGTCGTGGTCGGTGTTGATGGAGAGACTGGAGCTCCCAGACCTGTATGGGAGGGAGAGAGGAAGAGGATGTTTGAAGGCTATGGCTGTGGAGTGATGGCGACACCTAGTGGAGAAACTGACTAAAGGCCTGTGAACAGGAAAGGTTGGCTCACACTGTTGTCCTGTGGCAGTTTGACAGAAGGGAAATATAGCCGACACTTGAACCGATAATGAATTTTAAAGGGGCAACAATACAATTTGTAGCTGCCCCCATCAACAGCAGTACATGGTTAACTTTTGTGCTGTTACTCTGTCTGGCTCTCCAAATAAGGGGCATGTTAACCACAATCAACTGTCCTAATCACACAACCACAGTTGTGTGTACACAGTACAGTATGGTCAAGTGCATCAAAAGCACATCAAAAAGCCAAAATCTCCCTTTAACTACAAATCTGGGGTAATTTACACATAACCCATTCCATTTCACTGCAATAAAAGAGGTAAATATGTTGCTATTTATATAAAAAAAATAAGAATGAGAATCCCCACCCGCCGTATACATTTTTCTTGGCAAACTAATACAAAATCTGGAATATAAAACTGATTGGTCTTATTTAACATTTACATGTGAAGGTGACATCTGTGTTGAAGAAACAGAAGAATTATTCAGATTATTATATTTGTAAATGTATAAATATATGTACTCTTACTAAATATATTGAGTTGAAAGTACTAATGTCTTATAAAATGAGCGTATAAAGTATTTTCTATTATGACAATACAAAATATTGTTATATATTAAGTATATAGACATTGGTTATAATTACCCCTAATCTCTTCATCTACCACAAACAATAAATAAATAAAATGCTTTGAACATTTTATTTTTTAGCAAAGACTAATCTAATATTTTAATGTATAATAATAATACAATTTCAGGATTACATTCATTTGCATGTAGAGCGTCTAACACTGGATTTCAATCAATCTAACAAATACATTTGTACCTTTTGAAAGTTGAACTCATAAGAATGAAAACACATCCTTGCTCGATTCAATACCTTCAGGATTCGTCATCTGGCGTGACCATACGTCTTTAAAGTGAGTATTAATAGCTTCATTACAACGATTAGATCATTTAGTGGTCCTCTCTCTCCATTCCTGAGCCAGTTCACATCTTTGTCACCTCCTGTACATGTGCCTGTTCAGTACACTGTTTATTTCTTAGTGTAAATAAACTATGCCAACTGATCTAATAGAGAGAGATTTCTTACCCCAGTGAGCTCAGCTGGTGCTGCTGCCACGCCGTCAAGGAGCCCAAAGAGAGTCCTGCAGTGGGGGAGTAGCCCGACAGCTCAGGACTGTTCAGAGAGTAATCTGACAGAGAGAGACCTCATGTAAGATAGATAGCACACACAGCGGTACATCCAGTCAATCTTTATCAATACAGCTTCAGTATCAGTTTTAGTATCAGACATTGTATTTGTGCTGTTAATGCAATACAGCACTAATACAATAATCATCATCAGGTACCGTTGTTGTACGGAGAGCCGATGCTGGAGTAGACCAGACTCTGGTGGGACAGACTGGGTGTGGAGATGGAGACCACCGGGGTGGACAGACTGCCACTCAGCCTCTGGGTACCCTGGAAATACAGAAAACCCAAATGTTTATTCATTTATTGCATTTATCCTGTGTAGTGGTTCAAAGGATGCAGCTGGACACGGCTTGCGATGCCCCATTTCAACCACATGGTGTCAGTAAAACTGTATGTTCATACGTTGGACAGAACACAGGGTTGCCAATGGATGCTGAATGTTTTTCATTACTAAAAGTCAAACTGGACATTTACCAACCTGCCAGTTTCTTCACCTCATTTTTAAACTTTGCTAATCCATCAAGGCTAGTCATTATTACAAAAAATACAGGGCCTAGTTTCTTTGATAAAATGCAATTTGATCCCCTTAATTACTTAGTCCTATTAAATAATAATAATAATAGTACACCATGTTTATAGAGATGACCAAAAAGTCAGAAATCTAAAATAATAACATGTACAATAATAATAATAACATTGATAATTATTATGTATTTGTTTATTTATTTTTAATTAAAAAAAACATATTTTGTTATCAATATAAACAACATTTTGATTTCCTGTATTCACTGTTTTTGTCATCCATGCGTTGCTCTGTGCTAATAATGTTAATATATATTTGTTCACCTTTGTCTTCAAAGGAGTCAAATGGAGGTGGCAAATATCAATAAAGCAATTAATAGTTAATTATTAACATTTGAGCTATTTTACGTGACAAAGCATTTTGCATTGGAACTGGTAGCGGTCTCATTAGGGAATGTAATCAGGTCCTGCTTCAACCTCTGTGTGAATTCACTTGATGGAGTGCTCTAACAATTCATTAAAAACACACTAAATACTAGTGGGCAATTCATTCCTGATTACTCACAGTCAGAAATTAAGATACATTGGTTTGGCACACTTTAAACCCCGCTGTTAAAGCTGCTCTTTAAACTTTTACTACACATTTCTAACAGTCATTACAAGTTACTGTTGTTTCTCTCTGGGCTGTAGCCGCTCCGAACTGATAATGTCTGCAATGACTTCACTCTGAATGAGCACACACACACACACACACACACACACACACACACACACACACACACACACACACACACACACACACACAAAATAAAGAGCTTTTTGAACATCAAAGCATGGAGACATGTCACAGTAGAGGCAGAAAATACAAATATGAACCTGAAAATGAGCATAATAGGTCCCTTTAAAGGGGGCGGTGTCCATCTGTCAGTTTGGTTTTATGGCTGTTCCCTAGTGACAACTAACAAAATAATATAGATTTTTTATTTTTTTATCAAACCGCTTCAAAAAGGCATATTTGTCCGACTTACGAGTGTGTGCATCATTCCTTTAGACTGAGGGACGACCATTCGGAGGTCCGTTTTGCGGCTATTGTGTGGAAGAGGAGGAGATTTGGGTTGTAGGATCTTCCCCAAGCTGCCTCCACCAGGGGAGCCCACAAAACCGTTTACTGAACACAGAAATGGAGAAAGACATTTAGAAAGTGATGGTAAGGATATTGATTAGATTTTTAGAGCCTTAGTATAAAAGCACAATGCACCTAAATGTTGTTTTAAAAACCAGGGGGCGGTTACAGTCCCACGTGTTGGATCCATTAAATAAACCTGTCTTCCACTATGCTCTGAATGGAGAAAGTACAGCTATATATTATACAGTAGATAATATTGAATAATTGATATTGCCTTGCTCTTGACATTACATAATGGCAGTGTTCTTATGAGACATGCTGTTCTGGGAGGGAGAGCAGTACACCACAGGCGGGACAGCTTGCAGAGAGGACAGTTTGTGACCAGGGCTGACGATCACAACATTATAGAGGAACACAGATGACATAAACCAGGAAGAAAATAGTATTTGCTTGCCACAGAACTTATTTCCTGCAATAATGACAAATCCTATTGATTTTAGTTCCCTTGAGATTCTCACTTCTGGGTTGGCCCACACAAATACGTCACAACTGTAGCACTCTACAGCAGGTAAAGTCTGATCACGAAGGATGCTGGGTAAACAAAGTGGCGAGGGTATGTTGAGAGAGTGGGAGAGGAGATGACAAAAATGTTGAGTCTTTTACAGGGAGACTTCAAATGTAAAGAATGATTAACTAAACTTTCGGGATGACATCCTTTGAGGTAGTAGTAGAAAATGTATATGTTAAGTACTTCCTTGGTGTAAAATGAGTTGAGCTACAGCTATATGTACTCGTGTAGGTGACTGTGAGGCTTATGGGTAAAGTTTTGTCATTGTTTGTGTTTGGATACATACCAGACCCAGATCCATTTTGTAGAGCCATATCACCTGAGGAGCACATCAATGCATGTAGACATTAGCCTCTTTAAGATTCAGTTTAATCTTCTAGAGCAGGGTGGTGATTTTTCTATCGGATGTGCTCATCAGTGATCATTCATGTGTCATTTCCCCCCCCCTTCTCTGGGAACTAATACGTTTTGCCCGCTGTTTTTTTTCCCCATAGTTGTTGGTATTCCCATAATTTTACATCCCATCCAGATGAAAAGTGAAATGTAATATGCATAACTTTGTATTGTTTCCATTGACACACACACACACACACACACACACACACACACACACACACACACACACACACACACACACACACACACACACACACACACACACCTGTGTTTCCAGTGCTGGGAGGTCTCTGTGAGGGGTTAATGTTTCTGTGGAGGTGTGTGTGAGGTGAGGAGAGGATCCCACTGTCAGCCAGAGCTGCTGTGGCTGCAGCGAGAGCCTGGGAGGTCGCTCCTCCTCCTCCTCCCCCTCCTCCTGCACCAGGGCTGTACACCATACTGCCATGCAGGAAGTTCTGCTGTGGAAGGTTGGTGGTCTGGAGAGGAAGTGACCAATAGAGACATGTCAACATAATCAATACAAAAACACAATACTTGTTTATATGTCTTGTGTTTGTATTATAAGCAACCAAACTGAAGGGATCAACAATATCATCATCAGATGATTGAACTGACTAATCTGGTCTGTAGACACACAGAATAAGTGGCTGTGGATCAGGGGACCAATGGGCCAATTGGAGGGTCAGTGTTTGGAACCCCAGCCCTGCAATCAACTAATTGTCTTTGGGAAAGATACTTAACATGGCCCTATTATGCTCATTCCCAGGTTCATATGTGTATGTTGTGTCTCTACTGCTACGTGTCTCAATGCTTTAATGTTCAAAAAGCTCTTTTTAGTTATTTTCTCATACTGCCTGTGCTGCAGCACCTCTTTTCACCCTCTGTCTGAAACCAGAGCCCAGTATGCTCTGATTGGTTAGCTGGCCGGCGGTGTTGTGATTAGCATATCATGTACAATGTGTTGGGGCATTAGCCAATGGAAGCGCCATTGTTACATAGTGATGTCACTATGATACGGAAGTAAACCAAGGAGTCCAATGGAGGTGTTTCAGGCAGGGGGGGCAGTGGTAGAAAAACTCCCCTTTGGAGGGAACTTTGGGATTGTAACCTTTACATGCACAAAAACCTATATAAAATACTTCAGGAAAGGGAAAACACCAAAAAAGCACGATAGGGCCTCTTCAGACAGCTCCCACAGTCTTGTCTACGGTACGTACGTGTGTGTAAGTTGCTTTGGATAAAAGTGTCAGCTAATTGTAATATACAGTAATGTAAAACGGAAAAACCAATACGATTTTAGTGCCAGTTGGAATGGGGTACAATCTCTTAAAGGGATATATATATATAGATATATATTTAGATGGACTATGCTAAGGTTATGTTTCTGTTATGATCTACGATAGGTGATAGTGTCATAGCGCAGCTTTCAGTACGCAAAAGAGTTTGACTACGATGCTGGAAGTCCAAGTGTGGATCTCAAGTTTTTGACTATGTAGAATCGCGTTATTATGTAATTGTGTAATTTTGTAACCGTTTTTAGTTAGTTACTGCAGTATCACAAATGATGAAATAATGCTGCGTTCACACAGGACGCGATGCGAATAAACGCTCCTATCGCATCGCTCTAATCGTTTGAGATTCACCGCGGCTGCCAGCTGTGTTTACTCGCATCATTCAAACAAGACGCGCTGGCTCGGGAGCTACAACTACAACAAAATGAACATATTTTACCGTGATTAAATTGTAATACACGTTTCTAAATGATGCCGACGTAACAACATGCTGATACCGGTTAGTAAAAACCATGAATTAATGCTTGACAAGTCTGCAGACAAGACGGCAGGCGAAAAACCTTTTAAAATGCTTGTTTTCTGAATGGAGATTGGGTCGACCAGGCTAAGCTAACGTTGTATATGCTCCGTCCACACTCATAACAACGACCTACAGACTTAAATAAACCAGCGACTGTATTCGCCATGACACAGACAGTCTTTGGTTTGTACTTGTTTAACTTTTGTACAGTTTCTGAATAGATATGAGGAGCTGTGATCTCTTTGTGCTAACTGCTAACAGCTAATGGCTGATGTTTTGTGGTTGAACGTCAGTGACGGCAGGCTGAGATCCTTCGCTGATTGGCTTCCGCAAGAACGCGTGACGTGTATTTGACGCTCGAGTTGAACAAATTGAACTCTCGCGTTTGACGCGGCACAGTTCAATCGCGTGATTCGCGCCGCGTCCACCGCTTAATGCTCGCCGTGGGAGCGAATTCGCATCTGTTCGCGTCTCTGCATTGACTTTACATGTAATCGCGCCGCCCCAAAACATTGAATCGCGTCCGGTCTGAGCGCAGCATAATGCTGCGCTCACACCGGACGCGATGCGAATATTCGCTTCGCTCTAATCGCTCGAGTTTCAACGCGGCTGCCAGCTGTGTTTAGACGCGCTTGCTCGGGAGCTACAACTACAACAAAATGAACATATTTTACCGTGATTAAATTGTAATGCACGTTTCTAAATGATGCCGACGTAACAACATACTGATACCGGTTAGTAAAAACCATGAATTAATGCTTGACAAGTCTGCAGACAAGACGGCAGGAGAAAAACCTTTTTCTGAATGGAGATTGGGTCGACCAGGCTAAGCTAACGTTGTATATGCTCACTCCACACTCATAACAACGGCCTACAGACATAAATAAACCAGCGACTGTATTCACCATGAAACAGACAGTCTGTGGTTTGCACTTGTTTAACTTTTGTACAGTTTCTGAACAGATATGAGGAGCTGTGAGCTCTGAGTGCTAACTGCTAACAGCTAATGGCTGATGTTTTCTGGTTGAACGTCAGTAACGTCAGGCTGAGATCCTCACCTCTGATTGGCTTCCGCGAGAACGCGTCACATGAATTGGACGCTCAAGTTGAAAAAATTGAACTCTCGTGTTTGTCGCAGCACAATTCAATCGCCTCAATTACGTCGCGTTCACTGCTTCATGCTCGCCGTCGGAGCGAATTCGCGTCTGTCCGCGTCTCTGCATTGGCTTTACATGTAATCGCGCCGCCCCCAAACATCGCATCGCATCCGGTCTGAACATAGCATTAGGGCTGCGCTGCGGTGCTCACGGCCACTCTAGTCAATGGGTGCTATTCCACCACACGCGGCGCGTTACAGCTCATAAAGCGTCCCAGAAGCACCTCGGCGCAGGGCTCCTCTAAAATTAGGATGAATCCTATTTTTGACGCGGCGCAGCCGTAACGTAAGGTCGGGCAGGCAGGAAGTGGAACGGTCAGAGCATATATAGCATATATATATATACACACACACAAACTAGTTTTGCAGACCCTATCCCTTCGTAGTCTTTCAAGTAGGAGGAGGAATGCCAGCGTTCTCCTCCAGTTTACAGGCACTGTGTCCCGGGCCGTCCGCCCGAGATCCCTCCCTGGTCCTCTGCTGTGCCTCTGGGCGGTCAGCAGAAGGTAATGTCGGGCAGGCAGGAAGTGGAACGTTCAGAGCATATATAGCATATATATATATATATATATATATATATATAAACACAAACTAATTTTGCAGACCCTATCCCTCCGTAGTCTTTCAAGTAGGAGGAGGAATGCCAGCGTTCTCCTCCGGTTTACAGGCACTGTGTAAATTATAGAATAATTATGATGATTGAATGCCCCCACACACAGCAAGCCACACAGCCACACACACGACACACACACACACACACACACACAACACACACACAGACACACACACACACACCACACACACACCAACACACACCACACACACACGACACACACACAACACACACACCACACACACAAAGCACACAGAATACTAATATAATATTGTAAGCATATAATAATCAAAAATCTTAAACACTTTCAAAGATTTTTTTATTTAAAAGTATAATTGTACCACAAAATGAATGAAAGTGAACTTCTGAAACTCCGCCTTTTGAAACACTTTTGATGACGGATCGGTGCCTCTTCTCTCTCGTTTTTCTCCTCAGTCCATCAATGCCCGGCGCGTGTCAATGCTCCTATTGTCGTGGCAACGGCATGACGGGGGTTCCGCTAAATCGCTGGCCGTCCGTTGGCCGTGTTGATCAGCTCTTTGCCAGAAGCTGGGCATTTCTGGCAGCGGCCAACCGCCAACAGGCTGCTCATTAGCAACGCCCAGGCATCAGACTGAAGGAGCAGCTCCCTCGCTGGGTGAGGTCAGCTGTCTGGTTTAGCTCCTTCAGCAGCAACCAGGCAGTGTGTGTGTGTGTGTTGTGTGTGTGTGTGTCGTTGTGTGGTGTGTGTGTGTGTGTGTGGTGCATGTGTGTGTGTGGTGTGTGTGTGTGTGTGTGTGTTGTTTTTATTTACAATGCATCCAGAACTTGCAAATACCGCCTGATAACATTCGTAACATTATCATGAAAAATGGTTACAATCGCATTAAACTCATACTTCTAGTCGCCCAAAGAAAAACTGAAGGGCGAAAATGTTATTAATGAGGGATTAATTTTTCAACTAGATGGAAACAAGTTGATGAAATATTCAATTTCCAAAAGCTGGGCATAATTTCTCTCAGTAGTGGATTCCAGGGATAAATCTCTGCGTGGCTAGCTCCTGCCTGTCCATCACAATCTTCTTATCAGCAGGAAACCCCATCCTCATAATCCTCAGCAGACTTTTTTTTTACATATCATATTAGCACAGGATCTAGTTTGGGGCTCATTTATCATTGCTCAGTTTATCTGCTTCAGCGTCAGGATCAAAGCACTTCTTCATCAGTGTCCCTTAAATACACAGCTTCTGAATGCTATGACCTGATATTTATTTTTGCTCTTCTGTTTTTTGTTTGTAGAATCTTCAGCGAGCGAGCTTAGTCGAGCCCTGAGGCGCAGGAACTGGCTGTTGTGTCGTCCGCAGAGAGCCCCCCCCCCACTCTATTTACCCCAGGAGGAACCTGAGGCGGATAGACCCTCACACAACTCCTCCAACATTAGGCGCTGTACGACTCAGCAACTCACAACACTAAATCGCGTTTTACACCAAAGAGTGGTCAACAATGAAATGTTGATCTAAAAGTGAAGCAGCATCAGGTGTTTATGCAAGTTTCAACCAGTGCCTAATGTTGGGCTATGGCTAGATATTCCACTTACTTCTCAGCATGTGTTACTTATGCATAGCTTCTTAGAATAATACATTCCAAATATATTGAATAGTAAAAAGGGATTAGTCATCTTGACGCTCCATTCAATGTTTACGGGCTTTTTCTTTCCTGCTTTATGATTTGATGTGCTATCACCGCTGTAAATGGGCCCACTCATAACCAACAAAATGGGCCCCCCGCTTGATGAGCAACAAGTAACCAACCGTCTCACATGTGGTGGCAGTATACATTGAAATGTTATTCTCGAGCAGTATTGGTAAGTGGGAACCAATGTTACCATGGTAGCTTTGAGTGCAAGGTTAGGGCTGA